AATAAGTACTCATTGATCGATCTCTCATGAAAAAAAATGAAAAAAAAGTTCCTGTAACATGGGCATGTAAATGCATAGTTTTAACAGGACATTATTAACTTAAAAGTTTTTAAAATTAGGTCTCTCGTAATTATCTTAAATACCATTATTTTTTTTATTTGAATTTCCTGTATGTTGAACTAATAGTAATAATAACTAATAGTAATAATATTTAATAATAAATTAGATAAAATAATTAGTTTACTAATTTTATTTTTATTTTATTAATTATTGTGATTAATAAAATTACCTTGATCTCATCAAGAAGATCGAAATCGACAAAATATTAAGATGCAACTTTTTATTGGCATTAAACGGTCTATACAATTTTGCACCTCCCTGATGAATCTATCGACATTTTTAGCATTAACATATGTAGCACTTAGAGTAACTTTTGCAGTTCATTCGAATCACTAGAAGAACTTGGAAGACTTCAACCCCTTGTAGCTACGAAACAAAGCAGAATCGGAAATATGTTGATATGAAAAATAGATCTTATTTTTACGTGAGGAATCTTCCCACGAGAAATGGTAAATGTTTTGTGAAATACCCTGTATATTTTGTAAATAGACAGCCATATGTCGTCTCTTTAATATGCAGTTTTTGTACTGATGACTGACTTTTAGTCCATATAATTATTCTTTAGATCATTTTTAGGTTAGTGTGTTTAACTGATATAAACTGATAACTGAAATCGAAAACAAACAGAACAAAAATCGAAAACAAATTAGAGGTATCCATTTAAAATAAGAGAGTTACTGTTAACCTCTAGTATTTTCTGAAATGTAACCATGTTGAAATTAAATTTAATCGGTAGATCTTATTGTGAAACATTGATGTCAAGGAAGCTCCAATCTAAATATTGTAGTTCTCGTGAACCATCTTTACATAAGTTCTGCCATCTTTGTCGATAGTTTTTCCTAGAATAGACATCCCTACATATATTTCCACCCCGTTGTTGCGTTAATGAGAACCAAGCCGGCATTTTTAATTATAATGTGCGAAATTCCGTAAATTTACTGTAGGGCATGTGGTCATTCGCTATTTTTCTTGTTGATTTATATGGTGCTGCTGTTAATTCATTTCGTTTATGCCTTATATCCTGCTGCTTGTTTTTGTTTCATTTGACAGAAAGAGGGATACAAGTGTTAAAAGAAAATAGCCAGCAGTATAAAAAAGGGTTAATTAAAACTCCCTGTGTTGTAGTTTCATTTTTTTATGCTCGTTTCTGTATTCGTTAGCTGTTCTTCGTTAAAAGAGATATTAATTCATTATGGAAGAATTTTATATGTAGGTGTGGCAACCATAAAATTTTATTAGGGCATTTATTATCTTTCAGATTGTGTCCTTCCGTCCCCTAATATCCTGTGACAACATACTTAATTACTCATTTAATAATATATGTCATTATTTCTGCTTATTATCTTTTAAAATATTAAGTTGTATTTCTTTTCTACAATTGTTAAAAAAAGGCAAGATATACACATCAGGTTTGTTCCAACACAGAAATTTGTACCGATCATGAATGGTAATTAGGATTTGTACGCATGCGTCGACTTGTTACTATACAAAAAAATTCAAAACTTTAATATCAAATTCAAAACTTTATATATCAACGCTAAATTAACGCTTGATATTAAAAAATTAACGCTTAACATTGAAAAAACTGTATATATGATACTAGGAAATAACTGTGATAGTGTACCTAAAGAAATAAATATTAATATTAATAAAATATATCAATTAAAAGAGTTCATGTGTGTAAATATTTGGGTTTGACTATGGATTACAATTTGAAATGGGATAAGCATGTTGATCATTTGGTAAAAAAACAAGTACATATTTAATTTATGTGATTTATAAATTAGTTAAAATAATGAACATTGAAACATTAAAACTGATATATTATATATTATGTTTTTTTTCAGAGTGTTATTAGTTATGGGATTTTAGCATGGGGTGGTGCATATACAAATAGTTTAAAAGCCATTCAATCAATTCAAAATAACTTATTAAATATTATTTATAACGGGAAAGAGTCAAATGATAAACCACCACTTACTGTAGAACAGCTATTTAAATTGGAATCTATAGTATATCATTATGATGACCTAAAGTGTTTATTTCAAGATTCCACTAGTGTTACTAGAAATAAAGTTATTTTACCTCAATTCAACCTAAAAGTAAGTAACAAAATCAGCTATGTCAGTGCTATAAATACTTTTAATGCATTACCACTCAATATGAAATCTTAGTCATGTAAAAGAACAACTCTAAAGAAAAAAATATTAAGTTGGTTGAAACAATAAGATAATTTCAAAAATACTCAATAGATTAAGATATAATGTAGTATGTTGTATTATAAGATTAGTAATAAGTAAATTTTCTATTTTTTGTTAATTAGTTTTAATTTAGTTTTTGTGTTTGTTCTATCCTGTCCGCTTCCAGAGACTCTATCACTTTGCGGTTTTGCAAGACTATGTAATAATATGTATTGTAAAATTTACTGGTAATAAATAAATAAGTAAATAATTTTTTTAAGTGAAACTTCTTTTAATGGGCTACCTACCCATTTTCATTATATTTTGCAATGTTTAATGCACTACGAAACCCCATCATCAGTAAATCAAATCAAAAAATCGTCCGATTTAAATGAAATTTAGTATGTCAACTTTACCGTTTACGACATGCGTCATTGTGACAGTTAGTTTTGACGTTCAAAAACGTCAAAATTGATATCGTCCAATCGCGACCAAATTTGGTGGGTAGTCCCACCCTGTAAAGTTGGATACGACGCGACGTTTCGTTTAAATATTGAGGATTTGATATTGAAATAAAATGTCTGTCGACTACTCTTAATTGAGGACGGGCATACAGGATGATGCCCTCGACGTTACTAACCGATGCCTCTAAATGAAAGAAATCATCAGAATGTTTCTTAATTATGGGTAGAATGGAACCAAACTCGGCACGTGGATAGACGTACCCGAATGGAGTTCTCAGACGGGTAGACAACTCGAAGTAAAGGTGGAAGTAAGAGTGGTGGGAAGTAAGAAGAAGTTTCACTTCAAATATGTGTAGATAGTGCACACATAATTTTTTTTTAAATTATTAATATAGGTTGCGATATAAATTTTGAATTTTGTATTTTATTAGATTTGTTTTCGGATTATTGAGTTTATTTTTTCATTGTTACGAAATCACCTTTTCTTTATACAACAAAACTTCATATTATCGTTAGTGGTAGTAACTTGGAATGGGTGTCCTCCAACGGTCTAAGACACTCGAAAAAGTTCCTCAGAACTTACGACCGAGAAAAATCAAAGGTTTTCCTTGATTAAAGTAAAAACAATCTTCGGATTGTCACGGGGTTTCTAACAGGACACTCTCTCCTCAACGAACACCTCAGTAGGCTGAAACTGAGAGACAACGGCGAATGCAGATTTTGTGGGAAAATGGGAAAACACCAGAACACCTTGTCACTGAGTGCGCCGAGACAACGACCATTCGTGCCATGAACCTTGGTACATCTGATGTCGAGGATGGAGAGCTGGCCTCTGTGGAGCCGTCTCAGATACTGGCTTTTGTTAAAGCCCTGAGACTGCATGATGAGTTATAACTCGTTATAACTCAAGAAAGGGAAACATACAATAGATCTATAAGGTCGCGGTGATTAACTCCCCTCCTAAACATTCTACATTCTACATCGTCAGTGGTATCCTCATATTCATTGTCAATATCCCCTTCGTCACTCGTCATATTTAGTAGAAAAAACTCATCATATTTTGTTTAAAATAAATTCATTACAATTTAAAAAAATACTTGGAACTTTTTGCAGAACAAGTTTTATATGAAAAATAATGTTTTATATATATAATTAACAAAGTATACGACAGCTGTTAACATTAAATTTAAACATAAACTGTTACGTAGATCCAATTAAAAAGCCTTGTTTGTCGAAATACGAGTCCATAAAGGTTATTTGCCTCTTGCATCTCCCTCTTCCCGTAGCCTGTCTAATAATTTTAATTGGTAAAATCTCAATTAAATTTTTAATTACTTTTTATATCTCGATTTTCTGGCAAATTTGCTTGCTATTCAATAACTCATTAAACTGTTTTATGGGGGCGGTAGGTATTATACGGACAGACATTTGAATAAGCCACATTAAACTTTTTCTGCATCAAAATCATTCTTTGAAAATAACAAAGATTAAATTAGGTTATATTAGAGTTTTTTCAGTATATAGTATTGTCAGATCAGTCTATTCTGATTTTGCTTATTTGGTCGGCAAAAAATTTAAGATGTTCGGTTTAACCGTTTTAGAATAAGCAAAAACTTTTATGATTTTTTCTTACAGAGTTAATGATTTTTTTCAAGTACTATCATTTTTCAAGTGAAACTTCTCTAAGCGCGCCTGGAGTAAAAATTCAAAACCGTGACACAGGAGCTAGCGTCACGACACACGTCACGAGAAGTGGTAACGATCGAAAAAGTGATAAGCTAATGAGGAAGTTGAGATGGGCGAAAAGTCCTATATCGAAATTTTGGCGTTTTTCTTGTGATCCTGTGATATGATGATGATGATGATCTTGTGATATGATAATAATAATAATAATAATAAATAATAAAATACCCGCGTGGTTTTGCTAGTTCCATACCGGGCGCCTCCCCAGGTAGCGGATAGGGGCAAGCCTCCCAGATATGGGTGGTACCGGAGAAATGAAATATCCGGGGTGGACGAAAAACTAGCACAGGGTATGACGGTTCTCCATGTCAGGATCGGTATCCAATCAGCTTCTGTTTTCCATGTTAGGACGGCTTAGAAGTACAAGAAATCCCCTATGCGTCTGTCTCGAAACGAGCGGTATAGGGGCGGCGTCTGATCTCCATGTTAGGAGCGGCCGGGCTCAAACCTGGCAGTAGGTAAAATGATATACATACATAAATAATTTTATTTCATGGAGAATAATAAAGATTTACACTTAGCCTCGGATGCGTCAGAAAGTCGGGCTGTATCTGACGCTCGTATCCAGCCCAACGTTGACGACCTAAGCAATACAACTGGTTCTGAGCAATATCCTGCTTCCGGTGCTTTAGTGAATAACCCAATCACTACCACAAAAGCGGGACTTCCACGGCAGCGCATGAAATGGACTACTGATTTAAATAAAAGTTTCACGCGCTGCTATTTCATAGCTACAAATCTTGAAAGCGATATGACACTCTACAGGGCTAAAATGTACAAGACATTTGTTAATGAAAATCCACATCTGCAAATTACGGAACAACGGTTGGCAGATCAGAGAAGAACCATTATACATAGAAAACTTTTATCGGACATAATAATTAATGAACTGAAGGAGCAGGTGAGTGAGCAACTAGAAGCTCAAAATAGCACAGTGGGTGTGGTGATGGGATGGTGCAATAATGAAGAGCAGCAGCACGCCTCAATTAATACAGAGTTACAAACAATAATAGCGGAACATACTTGTGAAGAGAATCGAAGGGCAATTCAAGAGCCCCGCGAAAGCGAAAATGATCAAATCAGCGAAAATGAGAAAACTAGCCAAAATGTTGAATTAGAAGGCAAACTGCAGGAAACTTTTATTACATTTCGAGGAAGCGACCCAACACGAAGATTAATAATACCAAAACAAAATACTTCAAAAAAACTTGCCAGTATTGTATCGAGAGTAAACAGCCTATTACCAAGATTTTTAATGTTTATATACAGCTTTGAAGACTTCTATTGCTTAATTTATTGTGCCGCATTAGTTTGTGCAATTGAAAATTGTGCAAAAATTGAGAAAAGTAAACAAAGACAAACAGATTCAAATCGCATGAAAATCCTTCCATGGCAAAAAAGACTGGAAAATAAGATTCAGAACCTGAAAATGAATGTTAACCAATTAACACAGTATAGTAGCGGGCAAAGATCAACAAAATTAAATAATACGGTTGAAGCCCTATTCAAGAATAACAAAGTACATTCTAAGCATGAGGAAAACAACAATACGATAAAAGAATGTTTAGATACGTTAAAACAAAAACTATCAGCAGCGTCAAAAAGACTGAGACGGTACAAGGTTTCCAACCAAAGGCGTCAAGAAAATCGACAGTTCCAACTTAGGGAGGGCCAGTTTTATAGAGCACTAAAAAATGAAATAGTTCCTTCTTCGAGACTGCCAGAAAGAGATGTATCAAAAAATATTGGGAAGAAATATGGTGTAAAGAAGTTCAACATGATGATGAAAATAGCTGGATCGATGCTGAAAATCAAAGAGCGTGTAAGATAGAGCCAATGCAGTACAACCAAATATCACTAACTGAATTAGTAGCAAAAATAAACAAAACACACAATTGGAAAGCACCAGGTAACGATTACATCCACAATTATTGGCTAAAGAAATTTACGAGCACACATAAATTCCTTACAAAATATTTAAACGGTTTTATCGTAGAACCACACACAATGCCCCAGTTTCTTTGCAATGGAATAACTTATTTATTGCCAAAGAGCAACGACACTCAAAATCCTGCTAATTACAGACCTATCACGTGTCTTCCTACGATATACAAGATTTTGACGGCATATATCGCGGATATGATTTACAGGCATTGTGAAATTAATAACATTCTAGCAGAACAACAAAGTCTGTAAGAGAGGCTCACAGGGATGTAAAGAGCAGTTACTATTAGAGTCAATAATAATGAAACAAGCGTATAAGACAAACCGAAATATTTACACGGCTTATATCGATTATCGAAAGGCGTTTGATTCTGTCCCATACAGTTGGCTACTTGAGGTATTGAATAATAAGATCAATCCAGCTTTATCCCAGTTTTTGAATTACAGTATGACCCCCAGTGGCGAACGTCATTAATAACTAAAAATAATTCAAATGGAATACTCCGTATAAGAAAATTATATAAGGAGTCTTGCCACTTAACTGCTAATATAGAAATTTAATTCTACGCTGTGTTTGTCATAATGCGGATCAACCTGCTCTCACTACCGGTTCGGAGCCCTACTCCATCATCAGGTGAGCTTGGGATATCCACAAAATGACAACCACAGCGCAGAGGTAGTTAATTCCGACTTGTCGGAAAGTATCGGTTAGATATTAAGTCCCGAACGGGAGATGCCTGCGTGCAATGGTAGTACTTTCGTACCACCAAGGCGCAACTATCGATAGTAAAAGGATGGTAAAAGGCTTTTTTTCAGGCAAGCCAAATTATAAAATAGAAAAAAACACAGCGTAGAATTAAATTTCTATATTAGCAGTTAAGTGGCAAGAATCCTTATATAATTTTATTATATACCTCTACTGCAAGAAATTTGTTTTCTATTTTAAGAAAAAATTATATGGCAGAAATCTTATAAAGGCAATTAATACATATTACGCTATCCCTTTGCTGGTATGCACATTTGGAATAATAAATTTGACTAACACCGACATTCAAGACATTAAGAGAAAAACAAATAAAATACTAACAAATTATAGATATCACCATATACATTCAGCTATGGAGAGACTAACACTACCACGCGCTCATGGAGGACGGGGATTGATTGACATCGCTAATTTATTAAACAGACAAAAAAATTCGTTAAAACAGTACTTTAAACAAAAAGCTAGAACATCACATTTACATCAAGCCGTAGTTGCAGCAGACACAGGATATTCCCCATTAAATTTATCTGCAGACACTCAGTTCACGACAATATCATACGAAGAGAAACACCAAACTTGGTTACAGAAAGCCTTACACGGGAGACATTCTCATATTCTAAACGGTTCACATGTCGATAAAAATGCATCGAACGCGTGGTTAACGTGTGGAAAATTGTTTCCCGAGACAGAAGGATTTATGTGCGCCATACAAGACCAGGTAAACTGCACTAAAAATTATAAAAAATATATAATAAAAGACGGTACAATAAATGATAAATGTCGACGCTGTAACACTGAAACCGAGAATATCCAGACATAGTATCGGGATGTCAAACTATTGCGAACACCGAATATAAGTCAAGGCATGACGATGTAGCAAAAATCTTACACGAGATATTAGCCTTCAACTATCAATTATTAACAGAACGAACACCTTATTATAAATACTCACCGCAAAAAGTTTTGGAAAATGAAAAGGCAAAGATTTATTAGGATAGAACTCTGATAACTGACAGAACCATCTCACATAATAGGCCAGACATTACAGTTATTGACAAAGGACAAAAGAAGGTTTTTTTAATAGACGTTGCAGTGCCAGATTCTAACAACTTGCAAGCTGCCCAGAACAAGAAAATTCGTAAATATTCAGAACTCGTATTAGAAATAAAACAACAATGGCATTTTGATACTGTCATTGTGGTCCCTGTTGTATTATCTGCTACCGGAGTAATACCACACACGCTACAAAAGTCACTTACAATATTAAATATACAGAAGGCAGTAATATTGAGTACCTGTAGAATTGTCCGAAAATTCCTTGGCGGCATTTAGTAAATATTTGGACTTACCTTGGCATCGCGCCCGTAAATCCAGAGAGAGGTCAAAACCAGTAAAAATTACTGAGATAAATCAAAATAATAACGCTTTATTTTACAAAAAGCCAAAATAGCTTCATCGACAAAGCATTTACAAAACAAACAAAAGCACAAAAAATATACAAATAATAAAAAATATACAATACATATCATACAATTCAAATCATACAATTCAAAAAAATTACGTCATCAAAATTACTACATTAATAGGTACATGGACATTGCAGAACACAAAAAAAGGCGTATCAATAAAATTTTACAATAGGAAAATTGTAAATAGATATAATCATTTAAGAGTCATAAAATATTAAATACTTGACTTTAACCAGTATGTGAGATGATCAACATTTTAAAATTCAAACTTGTTTATGATTAAACATCAACAAAAATGTCATTTACCGCATATAGGGTTCTCTCCAGTAGGTATGATTTTAGAGCTTTGCGAAATGCGGGAAAGAATGAAAGCGACTTGATATTCAAAGGCAGATGATTGTACATTTTTTTAGCATTGTACAGTATTGATGATCCATGAACAGTATGATCTATGAAAAACATATGGTTCCATTTGGCTTTTTAAGAACTTTTTTATGCAAATGGAACCAGGATAATTTTTAGGGAATTCGAAATTTTGGCCAAAACACACACGTTTTTCGTGTTACAATAACATCGCAATAAAAGCTCGAGGACCTTTTCCATAAAACTACCGATATTCTGACGACGTTTCGTGCACTGATGAAACCGATTTAAATAAAATTTGGTATGTCGATAGATTGGACCAAGGTTAACTTGACCGTGTACGATACGTGTCACTGTGACAGTTATTTTTTGGACGTAAGAAACGTCAAAAGTTGATGATTTGGTTTGTAGTCACGTGAGCGACAGTGCACACGGTCCCACCTTACAAAATTGGATACGACCTTTCGTTTACATCTTCATCAGAATGGGACTAAGGATTTGATATTGAAAAGAAATGTGGTTCTATTTTGTCATAAAATATGGGTCGATTTCGGCATAATTGGGTACGGGCTACGGGATGACGCCCCCGATGTTTCGAACCTATGCCTCTAAATGAACGAAATCATCAGGATATTTCTCTTAACTATACGTCGATTGGAACCAAACTCGGCACGTGGATAGAGATACCCGAATGGAGTCCTCAAACGGATAGACGGTCATTTTAATACAAATTTTGTGAAAGTGAATTAAATTATTTATTAATTTTTATTTCACTACTTTTTCAATATTTAAAACGCTGTTTCAAACATGTCTTTTAAATCCTTCCATTTAATACTGTTAGTAAGAAGTTTCACATCAAATATGCGCACATAGTGTAACTTCTTTACGCGCGTTGGGAGTAAAATTCAAGGCGGTGACACACAATATTCGTATAATTACTGTAAATTACTGTAAATAATGAATTGTGTTTGTAATTGAGTTGTAATTTCTGTATAATTAATCTGGTAAATGATAGAGATAAGCAATTGTGATTGATTAAAATTTTATTTTAAGATGAAACTCTTATTGTTAACAACAATCTGAGAATTAGAATAATGAATTGAATAATGACAATAATGACAAGTGACACCTGTCTAAAAAAGTTAGCGATTTGGTGTGATAATTTGGTTATGTAAAAGAAATATATATTCTATGAATTTACTGGTTCCCTAACGATTAACATTAATTTTAAAATAAAACCACAGACCATAACAGATCACAGACTACACAAAACAATTTGTTGGTTCATAGCAGTTAGTAGTAATCAGAGATATAGATGTATTTTGGTTTAATGGCCACAGCTATCCGGCCGGGTATAAGAACTGTCGTTTTTTTAATAAAAATTAAAAAAGCATTATAAAATTATAAAGCTAGAATAGTTTACGGTTTTATATTAACTCTAATCTTTTTGAAGTTTATAAAAAGCATTCATAAAAAATGTATATATCCTTCAATTTAATAGTTGTTAGTAAGAAGTTTCACTTCAGATATGCGCACATGGCGCACACACAATTTTTTTCCTTAATTTTTTTTCTACTCTCAATATAAATCGACGTTATTTGAAAAAGAGAAAGATCCGCAGAAGGAATTATGTCGACGTGCAGGAATAAAACAGACAAATCCGATAAATCCGAGAAGGAAAATACGATTTTATTCGAAATACAAAGCTGCTGGTCAGTCGTCTTCATAAGTTCGGACAGGAAGGGTGACCGGATGAATGTCAGTTATTTTGACAACTTGTTGATTCGTTCGACTTCTGTTTCGGTGCGGGCAAAAGGCCAAACAGGGAGCTTGCCTCCTGCCAATTATTGCTAACGCTTGTCCTGGGTCCTTTGAGAGATAAAAGAGAAGACTTTTTCTTTCACAATTGACATCTAACTTGTTAACAGGGAAACAATATTTTCGTTTTCTGCAATTACATAAACAAATTATTTTTTTTTATTTTTATTTAAATGAATAATGTTTGTTAAAAATTAAGAGAAATCAACTGCAAAGGGAGTATGAAATCGTTCTATCTCAGCTAAATTGTTTAATTTAACTTTGTTTTATGACAGGCGAGGCGATGACAGAGAAAAAAACAAATGACTTTCATACCAATCCATTTAAAACAACTCAGCGTATATACCAGAGCCGAGCCTTCATCCGTGAATTAGTTGGGTGCAGTCAAGCATGAGGTCTCCTCTAAGCATACCTGCTTTGGAGCGTTTTATGAGTGGTTGCCATATTGTTGAAATGTCCATAGTTGGATTG